ATCTAAATTGGATTATAAAATTCCAAAACTAAATCAAATCTACCTGGGTGATGTTTGGATCTGTTTTTCGTAACTTTGAGAAACACTTCGATCCAATGAAAGTCACAAAATTTAGTATTCTTGAGGTTTTTTCTCTCTAAAATGGGTTGTTGTGGGTTTAAGTTTCAAATGAACCTAAGACTCATCCTTAAAACCCTTTATGTTTAAAAAAAATCAATACAATGAAAAAAAAATTTCTCCCCTAAGCTAGGTGCTGGGCGCCTGCCTAGGCGGGCTCTGCACTGCCTAGGCGCCTGCCCAGGGCCTACCGCCCAGTTTGGCCGCCTAGGCCTGGGCGATACGCTTAGGCCTTCTGGACCGCCTAGGTGTTGGGCGGTCCACTTTTTGGAACAATGAAGGGACCACTTTCGATGAACCCTCTGCCATCTCCAATACCATCCTCGGCTACTTTCAGCAACTGTTCAAAGCCCCCCATAGGCCGGCCCCAGTCTTGGGAGATCTGTCCTTCTCCATTTCCTCAACACAAGCCACGTGGCTCGAGAAGCCTTTCGACGAGCTTGAAATCTTGAAGGCCACCAGAGAGCTTGGTCAAGATCGAGCCCCAGGTCCAAATGGCTTCGCAGTGGCCATCTTCAATTGCTACTAGGACGTCTTCCGCCTGAAATTTCTTGCTTTCTTTTTTGAGTTCCACACTAGGGAATTATTAGCAAGGGCATGAACGCCACCTTCATTGCCCTTATACCTAAGAACGAAGGGGCTTCGGAAGTCAAGGATTTTAGGCCTATAAGCCTCACCAACAGTTCCTACAAAATCTTGGCCAAGGTTCTCGCAACCAAGCGCAAACATGTCCTTAACTGTATCATTTCCCCCAACGAAAGCGCCTTTTGTCAAAGATCGACAAATCCTAGATGGGGCCTTAATCCTAGATGGGGCCTTAATTGCCCACGAGTGTATCCACTCTCACGAACGCTAGCTAAAACCCTTGGCCTTATCATCAAATTAGATTGGGAGAAAGCCTACGACCATGTCTTTTGGGATCTCTTTGAATAGACTAAAAGAAGGATGGGCTTCGGAGCCCACTGGAGGAATGGATCCGGGGCTACACTCATGGCCTTTTCTTCTTCATTCTTATCAATGGTTCCCCTCGGGGGTTCTTTTAGTCCCACCGGGGCCTGAGACAGGGGAACTCCCTAACCCCCTTTCTCTCTGCTATAGTAGCGGAAGTGTTCAGCAGGGCAACAGATAGGCTCTACCAAATGGGCTTAGTCATGGGCTTCAAGATAGGGACTCTCCCCATCCCTCATCTCCAATACGCCGACGACACCTTGCTCTTTTGCGAGGCCATGTCTGCCCAAGTCAACAATCTACTCATGTTTATCCATTGCTTCTACAGGGTTCAAGGTCAACTTCAGTAAATCCAAGATGATGGGCATAACGCTTGACCCTTCCTCTCTTCAAACCTTCGCGGATGACTGGGGTTGTGGTATCGAGGCCCTACCCTCGTCTACCTTGGTTTGCCCCTATGCTTCGAAAACCCCGGAATTCTCAATGGGGCCCTGTTTTAGATAGAGTAGAGAAAAATTCGCTTCTTGGAAAGGAAGATTCCTCTCTCCGGCCGATAGACTTACCCTTATCAAAGTCCTCCCATCTGGTTTCCCAGTCTACCTCATGTCCTTGTTACATCTTTCTGCTTCTGTCTGCGACCGTGTGGAACAACTAATGAGGAACTTCCTATGGTCCGGCGACAGCTCCCCCAAGAAATTCCATCCCTTAGCTTGGCACAAGGTCTGCCTTCCCAAAGCCCTCAGGGACTGGGGATCTGTAGCCTGAAAGCTACCAACCTCGCGCTTCTCTGCAAATGTTGGAGATTGGCAACCCAGGGCAGTCAACTTTGGCACCACATTCTCTCTTCCAAATATCTCCTCTCTTCCTCACTTTGGTCTATCCCGGCCCGCTTTCATTGTTGGGCCTCTGGGTTTTGGACTTCTATAGTACACTCTTTCTCCCTCTTCAGGGATCAAATTCACTTCTTCCCCAAGGATGGGTCTAGCATTCGCTTCTGGCTGGACCCCTGGCTCGTTTCCTTACCCATATCGACTCGTTTTCCCTCCCTCTTCCGCCTTGCCCGTGATCCGTCCACACACTTCTATCCTCTCTCTCTGCCCCATCGATAGTGGACCAAGGACCTAGAATCCCAACTTTCGTCGATCTTTGCGAGATTCCGAGCTCCTCGCTTTCCGGGAGCTCTCTCTCCTCATCGCATCCTCCCCTCCCTTAAGGAGGGGAGAGGATCATCTGGTCTGCTTCTCATTCTGGGAGGTTTTTCGTGGCTTCCCTTTTTCACTCCATCTCCTCCCCTGCATTTGGTACCTCGCCGTGTCATTCGACCATTTCTAGAGCATGGATCAGTGTCATCCCCCCCCGAATCCAGTTCTTCCTCTAGCTTGCTTGGTGGGGTAGGGTTCTCAGTGTAGATCTCCTCCAAGCAAGAGGCCTTCCTATACCCAATCACTGCTCAATGTGCCTGGAGGCAGAGGAACCAATGCGCACCTATTCCTCCACTGCCTTGTTGCTACAGCAGTTTGGCACTCTAACCTCTCTCTTTCAGCTAGTCCTGGGTGACTCCTCAGAGCGTCCTCAACCTGGCCATCGCCTCGTCATTCCTCCCCTGGTCGAGAGCTAGAGCTCTGATTTGGATAGCCACGATAGGGGCCACTTTGTGGACCATATGGAAGGAGCGCAACAACCGCATATTCCAAGGGGAGATAGCCTCCCTGTTCAAACTTATTGACGCCATTAGGGGTTCGGTCACCTTCCATTGCCATTTCAAAGGCATCCTTGGATTGAACTTTCTATCCAACTGGACCTACAGCCTCAACCGTAGGCCCCACTTTGGTGCCTTGTTTGCGCTCTGAAGACCTCTGAAGAGCGGCGGTGTCAAACTCAACTTTGACAGTTCATCCTTGGGCAACCTTGGCCCAGCAAACATAGGGGGAGTCTTTCGGGATGCTCAAGGGATTACCCTTCTCTCCTATTCCTTCTCGATTGGGATAGCAAATTCGACCGAGGCGGAAGCTCGGGCACTCCTCGAAGGTCTCAAACGCTTCGATAGCTCCTAGGGTCTCCCCCTATGAATGGAAGGGGACTCCCAAAATATTATCCCCTAGGCATCCGGTGAAGCCCAACCCCCGTGGAGGTTTTGGCATATCTTTGACAGTATCCTTGATCTATACAGGGCTATGCAGGTCTACTGGATTCATATCTGGCGGGAGGCGAACCAAGTCGCTGACAGGCTAGCAAAACAAGGAGTTGTTTCCGATCTACTTCCAAGCTAAACAGAACGTTTTGTCTTTTCAGTGGGCCTATCCTTGTTTTTGTTCTTTGCCTCCACTGCCATTGGGTAGCATTTGTTTTCATCGTTAGTTGCTATGTTGGGGTCCTTTTCACCCCTTGTTTTGGTTTGTCTTTTTGTCACTCTCCTTGGTGACCTTTGTGTGTATCTCTTTCTCCATCAATACAATGTTAACAGTATCAAAAAAATGGGGTGGCGTGAGTTTTTTTAGAAAAGTAAAACCTTTTATTTAGTGAGAATTTTTTTTTTTTTGTTAAGCTTATCTTATATTAAAGTGGCTTAAAATGGAATAATCTTATTTTCACGGACGTAGGAGATTTAGTTAGAGATTTATTAGGGCCTTACGTAGGGAGAAGAAGAGATTGAGAAGAAGATGAGATTTGAATACGGATTGAAAGATTTAGGGGATTTAGATATGAGAAAAGTAAGAGATTTAGACATGGGAAAGATGTGGATAGCAATTGAAGGAAGTGAGGTAGAAAATAAGCAGAAGAGATTTAGGTGGTACGTGAGAGAGAGAGGGAGATTATTTTATGGGTTTTTTTATTTGTTTATTTTTTCTTATTTAAAGGGGAGATGTCCCTTCATTGTAAAGAGAAGAGATTAGAATTGACTAAAGTTTAGATCTTGTGAAAAGATATTTTTGAGGTGGATTGCCTTGCTGACCTTGAGAGACGGTATATTCTCTCAATCTTTTTTTTTTTTTTCTGGTTTATTATTATTTCTCCCTTCATCAGTCCAAGTCTCGTAATTTTTTTTGGGTCCTGGTGTACCCAACCCATTGCCAACCCCTATGTCTGTTAGTCATGAGGTGGAGATGCAGCAGTCTGCCTAGACAACAAGAGATAACCACCCCTATGTCTGTTAAGATCTTTCATGAGGTGGAGATGCAACAGTCTGTTTAGACAACAAGAGATAACACTCCTTTCTTGGGGCCCTTGGGGAGTGAATGCATAGTTCTAGAGAAAATTAGGGACAATATTTCGTCTTACTTCTCCTTTGAATCATGTATATTAGGTCCCCTCTAATGGTTTACCCAAAAGAGGATCTACTGCCTCTTGTATGTGAAATTCTTTGCCCTCAATGTTCTATGTAGCTAATCTTCATCTTTGACCTAGATAAATATGGTAACTTCCTCCTACAAGATCTTTGTCCTCATTTCCTAGATTCTGAACAAAATGAATGCATAGGCCAATATTATATTGTCCCTACCTAGTACAGCACCAATTAGGAGGGGTGATTTGGTTTTGATTGAAAGGCTCTAAAAGGGCAAGGAGAAGGCCCAAAAGGACATGAGTAGAAGTAGTAAGACGAGATATGGTGACTCATGATCTGACTAAGGGTATGGCTCTTGATAGAGCAGAATGGCAGAATAGAATTTATGTAGCTGATCCCAAATGGTTGGGATAAGGCTCTGATGATGAGGATTGCAACACTCCTTAGAAAACTTATTCCTTTTTAAGATAATATGTGCACGTGTGTTCTTCCTTTTCCAAAATGCATATTTGAAAAGGTGTAGATATGGATATGGATGCTGACATGGATACAAGGAGCAGGATACTACTCAGCATATTACAAAACCAGAACATTGATTCTTACTGATTATCCTACCCAACATTTTAATACTTTGATACTGTTTCTGTTACATTGTGTGTGTGTGTGTGTGTGTGTGTGTGCGTGTCAGACTGTATAATACATAATTCATAAGTACATAATACAAAGTTATGATGTATATCTTTACCACATAAATATTGTCATTTATGGATATCTTATTTGCCTTGGGCCCATACTACAGTACAAGCCCATTGGAACCAGGGGCTATTTGTTGGACCCCCAAAGTTTGTACATATGCTCATCTCATCCTAGCAAGAAAAGAAAACTATTTTGCAACAAAAAAGTGTTCCTAATGAGTTTGCCTTTTAAGTGAATGTGTTCCATTTGATGTGTGGTGGATCTAGGCCGTTCAAGAACTCAAAGTGAAGCTGTCTATGAGCTTTGCTTCCCCCTGCTGGCCCCTCACTCCTTAGCCCAACCCTCTCATGGGATTGTTATTTTTTCCGGTCGAGTTCTTTTCTTGAATGTGTTTTTAAAGCTTCTGTTTTCTAAATTAAAGATGTTACAATCTATCATCATCATCATCATCATCAAAGCCTTGTCCCAACTATTTGGGGTCGGCCAACATGCTTATACTTTAGTATAACAGGCCCATGGGATTATACCTGTATTTTGTGTTTGTAAAATCTGTAATATCTCATGGAGAGAGGATTTGCAGGTGGGAAGCTGCACATATTCCAAATGTTAAGGTTGCAAACATTGACGAAAGGAAATTGAAGGCAGAGCAGACGTCCTACATGCCTAACATTCCTGACATCCCAAGCTGTCCCAACCATCTGTTGCCCTCAAAGCAGTGGGAGGATGCATTTTTGGCCGATTTTTCTGAGCTTAGACAGGTAATTTCAAACATGGATATGGGGATAGAGTCATCTTGGCAATGAATATTGATCTTTTCTTCTTGTCTTCATGTATTTTGCCATAGTTTTAATAAATGTTGTTCTCTGCTCCGGTAGGTTTCATCTATTTCACCATTCTTCTTGATATATCAGTTGATGCGGATGAAATTGCAGGCGATATCACAGCTCGAATATGTGGGCAGGCAACCTGCTTGTGCATCGAATTCTCCACTTCATGAAGAAAACAATGTGCCAAAGGCGGCACATTTGCTTTCCCAAATTTTGTATATGGATGCAGTTACCCGGGCAAATTTGTTGAGGCAGTGTGCATTGGTGATTGAGGAAGTCAATAGCTTATCGAGGGGCGATTGTATCCGCCTGTTTGGGATATTTGCAGCCGTGGAGAAGCCACTTGATGGAGACACAAGCGCAGCCGTGCGTGGTGTGCTAAGGAAATGTGCAAGCCTTCGTGCCTCAAAGACCGAGTGCAATGATGAGGTTGTGATGCTCAATTTGCTTATAACCATTGCTAGTAAATATTTTGGCCAGTCAGAGAGCTAAGGTTCCACTTTTTCTCAATTGGCTGCTCCTTAGTATGTTTTGTGTTCCTTCAGTTTGTTGTTATCTTTTTTGGGGTCAGGCTCATGTGCTTGAACTAGATTAGGGCTTCATGGTGTACTTGTTTATGTATTAGACATTGATAAAATATTTCAAACTATGAAATAACATGAAAAAGATAGGGGTACCCTCCACTGGCAATGGGAGAAGAATGTGGGGGGTAAAATGGCTGCATGGAAGATACATGACACCCTCAGGACGCTAATCAACAAACTGAGCCCCACCACCCCTAGTTCTCTTTGTGTTATTCAGTCTCTTAGGTCCTCAGCCTTTGTAAGTGTTCTTTTGGCTTTATTGGTTTCTATGGGTTTTTTCTGGTTTTGATTTTCTTTTCGTTATTTATGTTTTGTTCTTTCTTTTTGGGCCCTATAAGAGAGCATGTCTTGGTCTTAATTAGGAACTCTCTCGTTCTCCATCTGTGAGCAGTCTTGCTCTTTCACTGTACTTTAGTTGTAGTCTGAGCACCCAATTTGTGGGATGTGTTCTTTCAATGTATATAATTTTCTATCTATACAAAAGTTAACATTTCTCAAAAAAATGATACATTTAAAGATTCAAGTGTAACAATGTGGATCATTTTTTAGAGGTGTGCGTGCGTGTGTTTGCACTCCTACATAAAAGTATGTATCGATGTTCATGCATGTATAGTGATCTATGTAACTTAAGACGCGTCCAAGGTTATAGGTGCACATTGGAGAGCTATGTAAATAACATTTTTGTATGACACTTTAAAAATTTAGACATTTCTTTATTGATGTTTGTATTTATATATTATGCATTTTCAACAGACATTGTTATTAGGGTTATAGCTGAAGCTAAAGCCTTGGTTTCTTCTTTTGAGGAGAAGGTTAACTATCTAAAGCCTTGGTTTCTTTGAAACAAATTGAGCCATAGAGTCGAAGAAGTTACTATTTTGTGTGTTGCCCAAGGCTACTACTTAAAGCATTCTAGTGTGAGAGGTTGTTGACAAACAAGGAGTTTTAAGGCGCCAAAGTTGACACTTGGTTTGGGCCTCTTTCTCAAACAGTATCATAATATCAGCATAATATGCTTTAGAATCTAGTTTTACATCTAAAATTGAAGCTGATTATAGTCTTTTTATACCAAAAACAAATAATCTTAGAGATAGTATATTGAGTGTATTTTTCTTTGGTACAAGGAGGTCAAAATCGCTTTTAGTCATTAGATGTGAAATTTAATAGTTTTGAGTGTGTTATAATTTTGTTAGCAAATTTCTTTTAAGCCCAGTCAATGACACAATTTTCGCTACTTAATTTTACATCGGATTACCAAAAGTGATCCTGACCTCTTTATACGAAAGGTAAAAGATTTTGCTATATACTTTTTCTTCCTTTCTCTTTTTTCTTTTTTGTAATTTGCTAGGATTCCAAACTTCTCAGTGTGTTGTCTTTTGCACTCTGACCAAATGGACCATAACCATTATATTGCATTCATACTGCAAATCTATGGATGCACTTTAGGATATGCCAGTCATTTGTTCCAACCATAATAAGCATTCATACTGCAAATCTATGGATGCACTTTAGGATATGCCAGCCATTTGTTCCAACCATAATAAGAAATAATAAAACATAAAAAAAAGACAAAAAAAAATTAGGTACTTCACTTTTAGCACTCCCATTCTTCACATTTCACATTGCTTTGTTTGGTGGCACGTGCATTTACTATTAGCTAGATAGAGAGGGAGAGAGAGAACGAGAAAGAGGTAGTCGTGTTTAGCATTTAGTATAATATGAAACTATTTATTTTTGTAATAAGGAGGTCATAATCATTTTTAACCATTGGATATGAAGTCTAATAGATAAAAGTGTTCACAACATTTGATAACTTTTATTTTGAATTTTGTGTCCAAACAATGACACATTTTTAACCACCCGATTTCAAATTCAACAGTCATTGATGATTGTGACCTCTTTATATAAAAATAAACGATTTTTCATTGTAAATATTTCCTTTACTATTGCCATTCAAAAGAGAGAAAACTACAGCTGAGAGAAATTAAATATGGCAAAACAAGAGTGGCAATTATGCTGAAAGACATCGTTGAATGGGCTGCCCTCTCTTAGTTTGAGGGGCAGTAGGGGATTTATGAGCGCATATGGCAGTATGGTTTCTTCCTCTTGTTTGAGCATGTTGTACATTTACTCACCGGGGTATAATTTAGGAGGATTTTTTTTTGAATTTGTGAAATTCTAAGATCCACGTTAGGATCCTGAAATGAGTATTCCAAAAAGTAAAATTATATTTTGATTTCTTAAAAACTTCGATTAACAGTTCAAATTTCAGACTCTATTTAACGAGGATGCTTTTTAAGGCACTCACAAAGTGTGCTTCAAATTCTTTGTTTCTCTTTTGAAGTTGTTTACTTGGTTGATGGGGTTACATCCCTGAATTTTGGGGTCCTTAGAACACCCCTAGCTAAGGTTTCACCCCAAACTTGGCTCACACATAGTCTTAAACCCGAAAAACAAAACAAAACAAACAAACAAACAAAAAAACCCAAAAAGATAGATTTTTCTAACTCAAAAGCCAACCATCCATTTTGTAAATTTGGAGTCGGACATATACCTCAATTTTTCTTCCAAAACTGCAACAGCATTCAATACATATTTTCTCTAAGAGAAAAGCAGTTTCCAGTCGTTTTAAATAATTTTTAAAGGTTTTTTGAAAATGCATGTCCCAAATTTGCAATGAAACAAATACACCTGAGGCTCCCAAAATGACCATCCGTATATTCCTCAACTCCTTTGTGAAATATATTAGGCAATTTTTTCTGAAGAACAAATGCATAATTGCAATCAACTAAGCGTAAAGAGGGATGTACATAAAAGGCATTCATATCAACCCACTAATTCCTTGAAGATAAAAGAGTAACACATGGCAGTGTTCCTATAAATGCGCATAAATAATAAATTATACACATCAAAATTAATATTGATTGACCATACATTGAAAACTCAATGTGTATAGTCTCTCTCTATGGCCACATGACCAAGTATGTGTTAGCTACTAAGCTCCCCACCAAACAACCACAAACTTTCCAAGGAACAATTTATTGGAGACGAGTACCATAAAAGAACTAATAACAATTGGAAAGCCTCGTTCTGATCCTCAGTTATCAATGGTGAGGATGAATCTGCACACAGATTGGAGAGAGAGAGAGAGAGAGAGAGAGAGAGAGAGAGAGAGAGAGAGCGAGAGA